GACCAGGCCACTTTAGGTTGGAATGGGGTCCTGGGTGTACACCCACCACCGGAGTGGAAGAATGGCAGGCGCATCTTACAGATGACTTGTCGATGGTCAGAGGGCAGATCAGCTCCACGGTAGGTCCTGGCGTCAAGGACATGGGCTCGCATCCACTGGTCCATCACTATATAGTCCAGCAGATGTTCTTGGTTGGACCCGGCATGCATCCATGATGTTGTGTGGACGCGCCGATGCCGGAACAGCGTGTTGGTAATTACAAGCCCATGGGCTGCACAAAAATCTAGCAGCCTCCTACCGTTGTTATTGAGCTGATCTGGCCCATGCCCTCCAATCACTCCAGACCAGCTGCCAGTATCATGACCAACTCGGGCATTGAAGTCACCCAACATGATGACTCTATCCCGAGGGGCCACTTTAGCCAGCACCTGTGACAGGAGGTCATAGAAGGCATCTGACTCATCGGCTTTGCATGCATCCCTCCACAAATGTTCATCTTCGGTGGGCGCATAAGTAACCACGACCACCATTCCTCGCCTCCGGTTGATGGGAAGGCGAGCCCAAAGTAGCCTGGGACTTACAGCTTCCCACACCTCACCGCCACGCTCCCACGCCCCCTTCATTCTTTTGTACAAAAGAAGAGCCACACCCTGTTGTTTGGCAGTCTGCTGCTCCGAGTAGAGGACTGTCCACCCCTCATGGTGGCAGGAGTCAGAGCTGGTCCACCGGACAGCCTGAATGCCACACAGATCCAGGCGGTACCGGTCCAGCTCCCGACAGAGGAGTGGCAGCCTCTCCTCTGCAGTGATCGTTCGAACATTCCACGTGGCCACCCGTAGTGACTTTTCATTGTTTCTGGAGGAGCCCCGAGGGTAGATATTCAATCTCCTGGCTCCGCCAATTGGGGTTTGGCCAGGAGACGTCAAAGACGCGTGGCCCCCCAGGGCCTCCGGCACAAGCTTATTAGTTACATATTTCAGTTTAACTCGTGGTTTAGTGGTAATCAATTGAAGGTGGAGGGGTTACCAGCCCCACGCACCCGTCCAGAGCCCCCGTTTAGCCCCTGTGGTGGACACATATGCCATGAGGGGAGGAGCCAATCAAAATTGGACATCCCCCCACAGCACTGTCCACGACAGAGTTGCCCGTCGGGTAACGCGAGGAGGTAGCGGGTTGTTTTACCACCACTACCACCACCACTACCACCTCCACTACCACCTCCTGTTGTATATACCGGGTCTTGAAAATTGTATTAAAAGAATAAAAATTTAATGAAATTGGGAAAAATGCGTAATTATGTGAAGTTATGTTAATTGATGTAATTATGCGCATACTTATGCTAATTCGAGAGATAATCGTATTAATTTATGCGAATGTGTAAATTAATGCAAGCCGTTATGATAATTAGGCCCTGCCTCGCTGACGAGGGTAGTATTATAAATCGGGATCATACAATTAATTGTATGAAGTTTTGCAAGTGTGCTGTAAGTACGCCAAATTATGCTCGGCTTTGTTGTCTAGGTTCGTATTATCAATCGGTATAATAAATTATTCTCGCTTTAATATTTACTTATTATGTATTAGTGTGTTGTATGTCAGGTCTCCAAATTCAAATCTCATCGCAGGATACAGTTCTCATAAATAATATTATTAAGCATGAACTCAGGAAAGAAACACTCAAACACTTCTGTGTTAAGCAATTTTTATTTCTAAACAAAACCTTAACACTCTAATATGCGAATTCTCATGCTAGAAATTGTCAACACAGTACGCCAGAAGATGTTCCCCTTATTGAGCTATACATTTAACCCTCAATGATCACGTTTGTTAACTGCGTAACAGAACAATTTATTACTTCATCAGAGTAGTACGAGCATATACGGCAAATAAAAGTCCTTAAAAATTAATGCCACGACATTCATACGGAAGGCGATAAAAGCAAATTATTATACCCCAAAGGCAAAAGTATACGTCAATATATTAATCGGCAAGATTATATAATTAACTAAATGTCTTGGAATAAGGGTGTGCGACGGGGTGCGTCCCCTCCTACGGGAGATTCTTATCTTTGGCTAAGTTTTAATTAATTCGTGGACAAGATTGTATGATAAAGAAACCGGTTTAACACAATATTCTCTCTGTGGGCGTGTAGATTCGTGATGAAGGTTTCAAAAGTTTAGTTTTTATCGATGAATCTATTGGTAATTCATGCAATCGGAAGTAAAATCACGTAAAACAAAATAATGAGAAAAAAATTAATGTACTTATAAACAACGTATTCTTGTCACTCGATAAGCCGCGATGCCTTCACGGCCAGCTGATGGTTCATGCACTTTATAATTGGTCTTAGTGTGTGGGTACGTTGGATTGTCTCTTTGGTAAATTATTGTGTGAGCAGACGCCAGGAGCGTCGTGGGTTTGTGAGGGGGGAGGGTATACGAACGACGGCTGGTTCCCTCTATCGCTCGGCGTCTGACGTTGGCTGCCGGTTCTCTTCGCCGCTGGATGATGAGCTGCGTCGGCACGATGCCCGTCCTGGAGATGCTCGGTCGCTCGTGCGCTGGCAGCAGTTCCTCACTCTTGTCTTGGTTCCCAGCTGGTGCTGGTCGGTGTGCGTGTGGGTCGAACCCACGGCGCGCTCGCTGGCGCTGACACTCTTGCTCACGGGCGGCTGGTCAGGCTCTATTCCCTGCTGGATGAGCCGAGTCGGCACAACGCTTGTCCGCTGGCTGCTGACACCCTTGCTTGGTGGCGCTGGTGGCTCTGCGGCGTGCTCTGTCCTGCTCCGGCTCTCTGGCAATGAACGATGCTTTCGTTCGTTGATGGCAGGCTTGGTCGACGTTTGGCGCTTTCCGCCCTCTCTGATGGATGATGCTGGAATTCTCGTCAGCTTAGCTCGAACTGCAGTGGCTCTTGTGAGTCGATGCCCAGAGCGGAATGATTTCCGAGCGATACTTCTTCTGACGGCGCTGAATTCGCACGGCGTAGCGTGTCGCTACCCAGCGAGCCTCGTCATCCTGGATGAGTTGCGGAGTCTTCTTCTACGTCGGTGGTGATCTCCTGCGTCGGTGGCTGGCTGTTATCTTTGGGGGATTGAGCATCTTCGATAGTTGGTCGCCGTCTTCTGCCGCAGGTAGCTGTGATACTATGTATGGCCAGTGTCTCTCTTTTTATGACAAAATTTCTTCCTCTGGCTCGCCTCCTCACAAAGGACTGGAACTTCCTTTGATCTCGCTGTTGTGGGGGGGGGGGGCTGTACGTGTGTCCGTGTGTGTGTGTGTGTCTTTTATTAAGCCATCTGTGTCTCTCCCTGTGATTACCGTCGTTTCCCTCGCTCTGGGTGTTACATTCCTTGCTACCCCATGCTGCGGGAAGACAAAGACGGTTGGGAGGCTCTTTTCCTATGGAACACAGTTTATCTTGGACAACCCTCGGTTTAATACTGCACAAATATTATTTGGTTTGTTTACTAAGATTTGTGATTTAACATTGTCATCAGCACGTATTTTTTTAGGGTTGATTAATTTCGTCCCCCCGTCTGTATCCGGGGATCGGTGCTTTTTATTCTCGAGGTCAGAGATATAGCTTAGTTTGGACTTAAGTTTTCGTGATTGCAGGAACTCATGTACTGTGGTTCTTTTGGTAAAGTTACATAGATAGAAATATACAATAAGAAACAATGAGTTGAATAAGGGTGACATAATATAAGTAATAATGAAGCCACTAACATAGACTGCAGTCTATCATGGCGACTTATTCTTATAGCCAAGCTTCAACTTTTTCCGTAAAAAAAAAATATATATATCAGTTATAATGTCCGTTTGCCCTGTGCTCTGTGTCTGTGCCTGTGATTCTGGATATTTGTTTGTGAACTATCCGTTGGCAATCTGGAGATTTTGCAGATAGTCGCTAACCTCCCTTTGCCCCGGAGTTTATTATTTAATGGCCTTTTACGACCTCCAGCTGCTTGGTGCTTGTGGGAGGTAGCGGGTTTGAGGGTGTTTATTTATTTATTTAATCGATTATTGTTATTCTTATTATTAAAAATGGCAGATTATTTTTAATATTAATTTTTGGAAATAGGCCTATATATACAACACTCCACTACCACCACTACCTCCACTACCACCTCCACTACCACCACCACTATCACCACTACCACCACCACTACCTCCACTACCACCACTACCACCTCCACTACCACCACTACCATCAATACCACCTCCACTACCACCTCCACTTCCACTACCACCACTACCACCACCACTACCGCCAATGATCCCCCACCCTCCCTCGTGGAGCCTGTAAAAGACTGGATGGGCAAGTGCTGTTAGCCAGTAGCAGCTGTGAAGGCCGGCACAGCACACGAGGGGGTGGGTGGCCAGCACCACGCCTGGCCGCCCACGACCAGTTAGGATAATTGTCACTGGTGTTGGCCGTGAGCGGTAATCAAACTCAGGTGGCCGTGTTCGTAGCGCAGGGCGCTAACCAATGTATCACTGCTCCCCACTACCATCATCATCTCTACCACCAAAACCATCAACTATCATCAAAATAAAAATTGTGACCACCAGCATCACCCTCGCCCCCACCATAATCTCCACCACCAACACCACCACCTCCCTCAACCCCACCATCACCGCAACCACCATCATCTCCACCACAAACACCACCACCACCATCATCTCCACCACCATTCTCACCCCCACCACCATCATCTCCACTACCACCACCATCATCTCCACCACCACCTTCACCACCCCCCCCACCATCATCATCATCTCAACCACCCCTCTCACCTCCACCATCATCATCTCCACCACCACCCTCACCACCACCATCATCTCCACTACCACCATCATCATCTCCACCACCCCTCTCACCCCCACCTTCATCTCCACCACCACCATCAACTCCACCACATAATCCCAAGCCTCTTACCGACTGTCATCTCGCAGGGCTGCTCAAGGCTGTGCCGAGTGGACCTCCAGAGCAATAGCATGGAGGAGGTCGAGCGCGGGGCGCTGGGTGGGCTACCGGCGCTGCGCGAGGTCTACCTGGGCGCCAACAGCCTCTCCACGTTCCCTGCCTCCGCGTTCGCCCCCCCGCTGCCCGCTCCCGCCCCCACCGCTGCCAGCGTCCTCATCGACGGCGACAGTGACAACACCGTTGGCGACGTTGGCGACGCCGGTAGCTGCGACGTCGCGAACGCCGACGTCAGTGTCAGGAGCGGTGGCAGCGGCAGCAGCGGCGTCGCCACCTTGGACCTCGGCTCCAATTCGATCTCCTTGCTCCACACCGATGACCTCCGGTGGCTGCTGGAACTGAGGACCCTGAACCTTTCCAAGAACCAAATCACCGAGGTGTCCTCGGGCTTCCTGCGCGGTCCCCGTCGCCTCCGGCGCCTGCTCATGTCCGCCAATCGGCTCATGAGCGTGGCCGGCATCTTCCCCGAGGACCTGGGCCTCCTAGAGGCCCTCGACCTGCGCAGCAATTATCTGTCCAAGCTGCCGGCGGGAAACTTCGCCAACCTCACCTCGCTCCTGTTGCTCAACGTTGCCGACAACCAGATCGCGGAGGCGGAGGACGGCGCGTTCGACGGCCTCGCCTCCCTAGGCCGCTTCGACCTGGGCGGCAATAAGCTGGGCCTGCAGCCCCTGGGACCGCGGGCGTTCGAGGGCCTCGTCAACCTCACCAACCTGGAGTTCAACAACAACTACCTGCACTACGCGTCCGCGGGCGCCGTCCGCAGCCCGCTGTTCGCTCCCCTCCGCAGCCTCACCCACCTCTTCCTCAACAGCCAGCGCAGGGACAGCATGGTCAACTTCCCATCCAACTTCCTGGAGGGCCTGGCCACCCTGCAGGAGCTCCACGCCGGGGAGCTCTACCTGTCGGTGCTGGACGCCGGCACGTTCCTGCCGACGCCCAACCTGCGCTGCCTGGACTTGGGCTCCAACCCGCTGTGCGGCGTGGAGCCGGCGCTGCTGCGGCCAGTGCCGCTCCTCGACGAGCTGCACCTGCGCGGCGTCCGCCTGGACGACGTCGCCTTCCTGTCCTGGCTCAACCTGAGCCTCCTGCGGGTGCTACGCGTGAGCAACAACCGCGTCGGCGAGGTGTCCGCCGCCGAGCTCGGGGCGCTGCCGCGCCTGCAGCTGCTCGACGTCGTGGGCAACCCCCTCTCCTGCGGCTGTGACAACGCATGGCTGCGCGACTTCCTGCTAAACTCGAGCCGCGTGCAAGCGCCGGGGCTGTGGCGCGTCCGCTGCGGGTTCCCGCTGTCCCGGCGCGGCGAGCTCTTCGTGCGTTTCGACGCGAGCCAGTGCCGCGACCGCTCCAGGCCGCTGCTCTTCGCCTGCTGCTCGTGCGCCGTCGCCCTCGTCATGCTCACCGCCACCGTCTTCAGGTTCTGGCGCTGGCACCTGCTCTACGGGTACCACCTGCTCGCCGCTTGGCTCGGGGAGCGTGGGAGGCCTGCGCGGCAGCCCGGCCCGATACGCTACGACGCGTTCGTGTCCTACAACAGCGACGACGAAGAGTGGGTCGCGCACCAGCTGCTACCGCAACTCGAGGGCGCCGGCATGCGCCTCTGTCTGCACCACCGCGACTTCGTGCCGGGCAAGGACATCGTGGACAACATCATGGACGGCATCTACGCGAGCCGGCGCACGCTGTGCGTCGTGACGCGGAGCTACCTGCGCAGCGAGTGGTGCTCCAAGGAGCTGCAGGTGTGCGCGCAATGGCGACGTCATAGACGGCAACCACTGCCCACCGCCACCCGCACACTCATCACCAACTTCCACCCAACACCACCACTCACCCGCCAACCACCCATCCACCCGAATGCCCACTCATCACCAACACCCAATCCACTCAACACCACTGCGACCACCACCACGCAGCCACCAAACATCACCACACACCCAACCATGGGCTCCACCATAGGAATGTTGAATTTCCACCACCCGGTCTGCAGGGCTGCAAGCGGGAGATGAGCACCGATAGCTCAATGTGGCTCGATTCTGCGGCGGCGACTCCGACGAGGCCACTTCTGTTGCGTCTCATAGAGCCCTCACATTTGAAGGAAACACCCCAAGTGGCAGCTGTCCCTGTGCTGCCGAGCGTTACTCAGCACCTGGCACGGGAGCAGGCATTTCGCTACTGCCAGTAGAGGGCGATGACCGTCTTGATCTAGCCTAGGGGCACCCCCGTTGACAGCTGTCCCTGTGCGGCGCAGTGCAACTCAGCACCCGGATGCGAGCGGGCATTAGTCTACTGTCAGTGGGGGCGGAAGCGATGATTGCCATTAGTCTAGCTTAGGGGGTTCCCCAGCGGCAGCTGTAACCTGGTCTGCAGGCGGGCATGTCAGTGGGGGAGGGGGTCGCTGTGTGGTCGAGCCTAGCGGGTCCCCAGAGGCAGCTGGGGTGACGATTGCTGCTCAGTTTCCCACTGGAGTGACGCTGCCTCTCGTGCAGGTGGCAGCGTTCCGTCTCTTCGAGGAGAACCAGGACGTCCTCGTGCTCCTCTTCCTCGAGCATATCCCTCACAACGAGCTGTCCGCCTACTTCCGCATGCGCCGCACCATCCGCTCGCGCACCTACATCACCTGGCCCGGCGCCCGGGAAGACTCGTTCGCCCGGCGGGGCCGGCGGGGCCGCTCGGTGGCCCCCGCGGGGTCGGAGGGCGCCTGCAAGCTCTTCTGGCACCGCGTGGTCGGCGCGCTAGGGCCCGGGGGGCGCGGGGACGAGGGGTGCGGGGTCGCAGAGGAAGGAGGTCCGCTGGGAGCCCTGCTGGTGCACGCCTGCTGACCCGCTCGCCGTGGCGATGGTGACAATGGTTGAAGGTGGCGTTGGTCACAGTGATGGTGATGCCTGCTCAAGGCAACCGAACAAATGTCCAAGTTTGGTCGGCGGGTTCGTAATGGCAGTGTCCCGTATCCACCCGCATGCCTTCTCCCCACCGCCTGTTGCTTTTGTGAGAATGTGGAGTTTAGCGCTGGGTGTAACATCTTGTGGGTTCGTCCTCAACTCTTTACATAGGCAGTGCTACCGGAGCAGTGGGTGAGGCTGATGTTAAGACATGGCAAATGGAGCGCTAGCTGAACGGGGCTAGTGGCTGGGTGGGCCTGACGATATAAAAAGTGCGTGTGGCTATGCAAATGCGTCTGAGCAGGGGGGGGTGCTGGTGATTGATCGTTAACGCCAGGGTGCATCGGTGTTAAGAAATCGAGTGCTTTGACATTTGGGGAATGTTCGTGGTACTTTACGTTTATTGTTGTTGTGGTTCATGTCCATTAATAAAAACACATTGTCTGACCCCTCCACCACCCAACAGGGTCGTCGCGTTTACACAGCTGAAATTATCATTATTATTTATGCACTCCTCGCGACCCGAGATCGACATCGGTGTGGGGCCGCCGCTCTTGGCCTGGAGCTCGGCGTCACTCGTCCCAGCAGGGAGAGGGGCGCGACGACGAAGCCTAAGGGAACGGCGTCGCCACCTTCGTCATCCCTGGGGTTGAGAATCAACGGACAAAACACACAGCACGCGAGCGTCGGTGTGGATAGTAACACGCGCAGTACGCACGCACACACAGTACACGTACACAGTACACGTACGCAGTACACGCGCAGTACACACACGCGGTGCACAACCAGTATGCACCGCACGTGGCCAAGCGTGCAACAGCGCACACTCTACTGCGTATTCACCCGGTCTTGTGAACGGACGGACCGGACACTTGGGAGGCCACCCACCCCGGTGGCTGCCAGCTGACTGTGCTCCGAGTTCCACCTGCGACAGGGAGCGCACGTTGGCTACCTAAAGACGTGACTCAGAAACACGGCCCTTACCTTGCAGCTACACACCAGGGCTGTAGGCCACGGGCTGTCGAACAAGAGTTCAGAGCATCTAGTGAGAAAAGAACTGTCAAGGGTCGCCCCTAGGTTGACTCAGCCTTAATCGAGCTCAGCGTTTGAGGGTGTAAACATTAGAACTGGGGGGGAGACAATGGCGCCCTGCGTGGAGGACAGGTGGCGGCATTGAAGCGATGCGTGTATCGAGTGTCCCGTGTGACACGCGTGTCCTCCTGCGCGTCCCATCGCATGTTCTCCCGCGTGACCTGTGTGTCCTCCCGCGTGACCTCCCACGTGACCTGTGTGTCCTCCCACGTGTCCTCCTACGTGTCGCACCAATCTTCTTCTTGTCATACGGCTGATGTAGATGCAGAGCAACAACTATTATTTCACATTCGGGTGGCCAAGGCAGACCGCGTTACCAGGAGCAGCGGAGTGTATCGTCGCTGTGATGTCTCCTTCGTATTTGTGGATCGTCGCATTGGGTCGTTACACGGTGTACGATCTGGAGAGTTTTTACATTTCCACTTGTGCATCAGGTATCCCCATCTGCTGCCATGGTTTGTGCACAGGCTACGATTTAGGGTGGACCATGAGCAGCTTCGTGGAAGATAAAACCCCAGGGACCTTCTGCATTGGGTCTTTCAAAACGACGAGGTGTCGCGCCAACGTGGCCCTGCAATCCCACGGCGGACGTGAAGAGGAAGACCTCAGCTTTGGGGGGGTTTATCATACCAGAAGGGGAGAAGCGAGAGCTCAGGTTCCACTCCAAGTCTCCCCCCCATCACCACCTTCTCCAATTGCTAACGCTGCAATACAACGCCAATCGCATAGCTGTCAACCCATACGTGTTACCCCATTATTCTTATCCAGGGAAATTGAGTTTTCAGGTCCATACGGCGTACAGCCGTTTCAATACGGGAACAAAAATAAATGAAACATGTCTATTTTTGTTCCTCCCTTGGGATGGGACTTTGTAGGACGAACGTTGAAATTTATAATGGGCACGGGGTGACCAATGAGGTCTAAATTGGTCTTTAATAAGGTAGGCCACTGATAAGGGGGTTGACAGGTATGAAACTGTCACGATTATTATTATTATACCGGCGAGTTTCCCCACGACGTTGTGGGTTTGCGTTCCTTACCTCGCTTTCACTGTGCACTCCGTGCGCTGTTCCGCTTGCGCACGCCCGGCACGAGCGAGGAATTCCGACGGGAAGGTTCTTCCGCTGCCCTTTTGCTCACCCGTTCAGTGAGCTGGTGCTGTCGTTCGCTCCCTTAGGTCAACTCGGCCTCAAATGAGAAAAACCCTGGTGCGTTGCGGTGTGTGTACATTTTGCACACTCGGGAGACAAAGGAGGCCGGGCGGGCGTGGTGCTGGGCACGCACCTACCACCCTCGTGTGCCACTGTGCCGGCCTTCATAGGGGCTGCTACTCGCTTAACAGCACTTGCCCCAACAGTCTGCTGAAGGATAAAGGGGGGACCTTTGTATTTGTACGCATGCAATACTGTACACAGAATACAATTATTTGTATACAAAAAGTACTGGGCATTACTGTATCGAACACGTTACATTGTATCAATGTATGCCAGTACTATTACAGGACTTCTCAAGTACTGCAATAGCACTGCAGTAATGTGACAAACCTGTCAACCCGTACGGTTTACCCCGTATGCTTGTACAGGGAAATGTAGTTTTCAGGTCCATACGGCGTACAGCCGTTTCTATACGGGTGTAGAGGTATTATTGTGCATCTCCCATGCTGTTAGCCGGTGGTATCGGACACGTGCCAATAGGGGGCAGAAAAGGGCCTGAGCCCCAGTGTTAAGGGTCTATGGCCCACGGGCCCAACGATAACCCCTATGGAACGGCATGACCAGAGCATGACCAGAGGTGCAGACCCCAGATCCCAGGAGGGGGCTGGGGGATGACATCACCCCCAGGTCCTGCTGGAAGGTTCGAGATGGAAGGTGTGGCCGGGACGGAGTAATCCACGGCTCTGTATGAAAGCCGGACCTCTGAACGGTCCAGGCAGTCGTCGCTCGCCTGAAGATTGAAGAAGCCTCCTGAAGAGAAGAGCCCAAAGGGCAGAGCCGTACCCCTGCTAGGGTCGGCTCAAGCTTATACCAGTGAAGATGCAAACTGCACTCGTGAGAGGTGTACGTTAGCCAGTAAGAGGCGTATTAGTCCGGAGGGGCTACCTCCTGAGCATATCGGGAGTAAGGGGCCATTACCCCTTTGTGTGTGCGCGTGTCGGTCCATGTGTGTGTGTAAGTCGATGTAGTCGATGTGTGTGTGAGTCAATGTATGTGTGCGAGTCGATATGTGTGTAACTCCATGTGTGTGTCTAAAGTCGATGTCTGTGTGTGTGAGTCCATATGTGTGTGTGCGTGTAAGTCGATGTGTTTCTATGTGTGTGGGTCGATGTCTGTGTGCAAGTCCATGTGTGTGTCTGCCTTTTTCGCCCGGGCAACGCCGGGTACTTACCGCTAGTTGTTAAATAAAAACGTGTTGCCTCAGAGAACTCTCCTCTAGTTATTTACCTACTACACGGGCACTAAAATAATTGTTTGTGTTTCTCCCTTGTGATGGGACTTTGTAGGACAAACGTTGAGATTTATAAGGGGCACGGGGTGACCAATGAGGTCTGAGTTGGTCTGTGATAAAGTAGGGCACTGATAAGGGGGTTGACGGCTATTATATTATTACACCACAATAATGAAATAGTGAGACTGTCTAAAGTATAGTATACACACATCACTACGTTACTGCCATGGTGCTAGCGTATAACGTCTACTATGATAGTGCCGTCGTGGTTATACTGGTAGGAACCTCCAGGTTACACCAGCCCACAGGGAATTATTGTCCGTCCGTCCTGCATCCAAAAATGGGAGGGGTGGGGCTGGGTGGAGAGGAGAGGGTGGGGAGGGGCTGGTTGGGGAGGGGCTGGGTAGGGAGGGTGGGGAGGGGCTGGGTGGGGAGGGTGGGGCTGGGTGGGGAGGGGCTGGTCACCCCGTGGTACTCTTATAAAACTCAACGTTTAGCCTACTCACGCCGGCTTGTGCCCGCCCTCACAGTCGGGCATATTTGCGGAATACACCACGTGGTGCCGCCGTTGACCCTGGCCACTGACCGAGTAACCCAACGTTCCTACGTTGGGTTGATGACATGCAGCGTGTACTGCATGTCATCACAGTAGTGCTGTAGGGCAGTGATAACAATGTATTTTGCGTACTGTATAAAAGTACACAGCCATTCTTTAAAGATGAACGCTCATCACACGGCGATTTGTGTTGGTGTCTGGGCCGAGTTGGAATGGTTCTGTGATGGCGATGATGGTGATGATGGTGGTGGTGGTAAAAACAATGACGATTCTGACGAGAATTACCAGGCCGGGATGATGATGATGATGACACGGATAACCATCATGTAGCTGATGATGGTGGGGGATGACGTTAGTGAGGATGGTGGTGATGGTGATGACGGCGGAGGAGGTTAATATTATTGAGGATGGTGACGGTGGAGAGAGATAACGTTGATGTTGATGGTGGTAATGGTGATGAAGATAATGGTGGTGGTGACGTTGGTGAGGATGGTGGTGATGATGGTGGAGGTTGCGGTGTTAACAACGAAGGTGGTAATTGTGGTGACGATTATGAAGTTAATGTTATTTATGACGGTGATGGTGTGAAAGGATGGTGATGGTGTTGAGGTGACGTTAGCGATGGTGATTATTGTTGAGGTGATGTTAGTGATGGTAATGATGGTTGAGGTGACGTTAGTGATGGTCATGATGGTTGAGGTGATGTTAGTGATGATGATGGTTGACGTGACGTTAGTGATGGTGATGTTGTTGAGGTAATGTTAGTGATGGTGATGATGGTTGAGGTGACGTTAGTGATGGTGATGATTGTTGAGGTGACGTTAGTGATGGTGATGATGATTGTGGT